GACAGCGCGGAACTTTAAAAAAGTAACCTATATATGTCCGATATTACAGACACTCCAATTTTATTATATGTAAAGATAGATACGATATTTTTGAGAAAACTGACGAAAGTACGTTGAAATATTTTCTTGTTGAGTGATACGTTTTAAAAGACGTGTAGGCATAACTTAAGAAGGTCATTCGTCGTGCTGATTGGTCACGGTTCTTCGATGTTATTACAATACGCTAAAATGTTTTATGTTGCGTCCAAGTATTCGGAATACATTTGTTACGTATGTGTTGTAATATGGTTTCTTTTTACACGTTCTTTGTTAGAATTTAGGGACGTCTGGGACGTTTAATACACTCATGGTTTAATCTTACTACTATATGTTAGATGTTGCTTGCGACTTAGCCTGCGGGAAATAAAAAAAATAAACATACAGACGAATTGAGTACCTCCTTTTGGGAAGTCGGTCAAAAATAATAATAGAAACATAACCTATGTTTCTCACTGATAACGTGGCTTTTTTTTTTTGAAATTATTGAAATCGGCCCAGTCATTTTTGATATATTTTAATACATACAAAAATCCAAAAATATAAATATTGCCTCTTAATAATAATATTAGTATAGATAGTATAGATACGAAAGTTTGGATGGATGTATTTAGAAGAACACATAGGCTTCTTACTTACTTAAGTTATTTTTAATTCCGTGCGGACGGAATCGCGGGCGTAACCTAGTATATACATAAGTATGTAGTATGGATGTGTTGCCAGCTAAATGCACAACATTTTACAAATTCAAATAAAATTTGGATGAAAATACATTAAGATGAATTAATTGTAGCATGGAATAGAATAATATTAAAACATTATATAGGTTATATAGAGCTTTGATAACATTCAAGTTGAAATTATTAATTAAATAAAAGACTAAGCGTTCCCGTCGAATCGAATTAAGGTCAACAGAATCCATATAAGTGTAGTAACTCGGTTACCTTTCAAGCGGTTTGTATATTTCCTTTGAAGGAAGGATTCCTTCGCTTTTATGTATTAATATAAAATGTGGTAATAGGATACTTTTGTATAGAGTTATCAGGATTCGAAGAGCTTCTTATATCTTACTTATTACTAATATTATACTTTTATACTAATACTATAAATGCGAAAGTTTAGATGGATGGATGTATGGATGAATGTTTGTTAACGTTTGTAGCCTAAACGGCTGAACGGATATCCATAAAATGTGGCACATGTTTAGAGCATGATCTGGAAGAACACATAGGCTACTTTTTATCCCGGGAATAGTTACGGTTCCCGTGGGATTCATTAATTTAGTTTTTTAATGTTTACTCGATCACTCTGCAACGGTTCAACATATCTTATTGAAATTTTGCACAGATATAAAACAAAGTCTGGAGTACACATGGGATAAGGTTCATCCCCGAGAAATGTCTGGTTCCGGTCCTGTTTCTTATTAATATAGTTCGTATGTTTTGTTATACCACGCGGACGAAGTCGCGGACAACGGCTCATACTAATATAAATTCGATAGTTTAAACGGATACGTGTTTGGTAGAGTTTGTAATTTTGTCAAAAATGTGCGCTTCCTCTTACACTGGAGTTTACACCGCTGTTAAGTATTACATAGAACTCGTGATGTCGTAAAAGACTGACGTAAAATGAACTTAAATTTTTATAGCGCGAAATACAAGTAAAATTTCCACAAGTAAAACTTATCTTAACACTCACGACGTCCTGTCTATTATATTCAACAGTTATTTTCGAGGCTTAGAGTGCACGCTGCACACACCTTTGACTATACTATCGCACGACTGTTTAGTCGCGCTTTGATGCCCATGAGCTTATATGGTGCGGACACTACTTGATATTTAGTTGTCAGACTAAAGTTGAATTGGCGGCGAATCAATCGTCAATCGAACAGTTGTGCGATTGTGTAATCAAAGGTGTACCAGCTCTTATATCATTTCTTTGAATGCTAAACTTGTAACCTTTGACATGGACTGTGGAAACGCCTGTTGAAAATATATTTAGATCTCTCTTACTCTTAAGAATTAAGAGAGAAAACGATATGTTTTGAAACACACGTTTCTGTTACGTTTGAAAGTCTTATAATCCGTCTCCCATTTGCCTTAACTTATAGAAATTTGAATTATAATTAGCTATTGAATATGGTATCAAGGGGTATAGTCTTGTTATGTTCTTTCGTTCTTTAGTTCTGACATATCTATGTTTTATTATAAAGTTTGCAATCCTTACTTCTTCCATCTACGTTGAATAAACCTTAGTTGAATACGGAGGCGAGACAATGTATGTCAACAATGAAACAGATCCTGAGAATGTAACAACTCTAGCGCGACTAAGTTATCTGGCCCGGTGAAAAGGGCTGCTTATCGCAGTTGTGTCTGTCAGAAAATATACAAAACGTATATGGGCATAGAAAATGATACACAAAACATGCAGATATAGTCATGGATCTTGAGGCTCTTTTCGTCAATGGCCGGTCATGGGGCGGGGGCGTTAGTATGTTATTGTAATTGAGTTTCATTAACTACCGGGTCAGATAAGTTTGTTGGTCTATACCTCGATCCCACAATTCACTACCAAACTCTATTGACCCTTGTATCTTTATTTGTTTATCGTACAACCCGGGTCATATAAGCTGGCTACTTGCCAGGGTTGTCACGCGCCTTGACCCCGCGATAACTGGGTCAGACAATGGTAAATAAGGGGCGAAGTGTTTACATTCCGTTTGCCAACCCTCGTGTAACGCTGCATTGTTATCGGGGTTTAAATGGGCTATTTGGAGGCTTGTACCCGAAACGCTTCTGAATTTATTGCCTTGTAATCTGTAAGCAAATGAATGTAATAAAAACATCTGCAATATGCTTATTTTTTAAATAGTAAGATGTAGTAATAAATCTAATTTTGGATGCTGTATTAGCTGATCTCTTAGTTAATTTTAACAAATAAAATAAAATTACAGACGAGGGCGGCGGGAGTTCTGAGTCTCGTTCCGATAGCAGCGAGGACGAGGTGACTGAGCACGCGCCTAGAGCCACGCCCACCGACAACATGGCGGCCGCTAGGGCACAAGTATGTACCATACATTTGTACTATCTTCTTACTACGAGCAGGCTACGAGCCTACCCTACGTAGGGTGACAAGGCCTTAGTCATCCACGCTGGCCAAGTGCACTTTCACATCACACATATCTTTGAATTTCTTCGCCGATATGTGCAGGTTGCATCACGACGTTTTCCTTTACCGTAAGAACGTCGGG